AGTCTGTGAATGGACTCGACAAGTCCGTGATGTTGGCAGAAACCCTAAATCCTTGGGCTTGTACCCTATCTAAGGGTCATTATGGCCTCCATTTGCGGCCACCCTTCCAGAGAAAAGAACCCTAGCATATTTGAGCCTGTGAAGTGAGAGAGAGAGACATCTTGAGCTATTTTTGTGATTTTGCTAAGGAGGAGAAGTGATCCAGCTAGTAGGACCAAAGGAGGTTGTTGTTCTGAGATTTTCAAGCAAGGAGGCTTCACTTTGAGGTAGCAATTCGACCATTTTCTTCCTTATTGTGTAGGCATATTGAATCAGCTATCTTGGATCGGAAGATCAAGTTTATGAGGAACAAAGAGGTGCCCCTGGTTCAGGTCTAGTGGCAGCATCGGAGAGGGTCCGAGCTGACCTGGGAGCCAGAAGCGGAGATGCGGGAGCAGCATCCAAAGTTTTAGAGTAAGACTTCGAGGGCGAAGTCTGATTCTAGTGGGGAAGAATTGTAACATCTAGATTCCCAGGTATGGTCATATGATTATTTATTTTGAGATATGAGGAGTGACTCCATGAGTTGATGCCCTAACTCGTCGAGTAGGATTTTGAATGATGACTCGGATTATTGAATGGACTCGACGAGTCTGTGAATGGACTCGACAAGTCCGTGTTGTTGGCAGAAACCCTAAATCCTTGGGCTTGTACCCTATCTAAGGGTCCTTATGGCCTCCATTTGCGGCCACTCTTCCAGAGAAAAGAACCCTAGCATATGTGAGCCTGTGAAGTGAGAGAGAGAGAGAGAGAGAGAGAGAGAGAGACATCTTGAGCTATTTTTGTGATTTTGCTAAGGAGGAGAAGTGATCCAGCTAGAAGGACCAAAGCAGGTTGTTGTTCTGAGATTTTCAAGCAAGGAGGCTTCACTTTGAGGTAGCAATTCGGCCATTTTCTTCTTTATTGTGTAGGCGTATTGAATCAAGGGTTTCTTTACCCTTTCTTGAGTTGGAATAAGAAGCATGAGAAGTCCCACTGTGAAATATACCTTATATCTGGACCTTGAGAGGTCCAGAGAGTCCCAATCATCCATCTTTATGCAGTCCCTTTGGGGGTTTTGGATCTTGGTTGTCATATTAAGAGCTAATTCATCAAAAAGAGCCATATGAGTGTTGCATGAGCATAAAGATTGGACCTTTACGTGAATTTTGAGTGTTTACAGGTCAGATCTATAAGTTAGAGATATAGATTTGACCTCAGAAGGTCATTTGGAAGTTGCCATGGAGGAAACTCGCCGAGTCCATGAGAGGAATCGACGAGTCGAGTTAGGTTGCCCCGCGATTCGGATCAGCGGTAACTCGTCGAGTGAAAGGTTAACTCAACGAGTCGAGTGAGGCCTTAGAAGGATTCAGAAGATGTGCATGAACTCGCCGAGTCCCACGAGTGCACTCAGCGAGTCTGGTCAAAGCTGGACCGTTGACTGAGTTGACTTTCGTTGACTTTTAGGGTTTGGTCAACTATTGGGCTTTTGGGTCTTCGAAGGGTAAGATGGTCTTTTACCCTTCTGAGGAATTATAAGGGGGATTAATCTAACCTTTGAGAGCCATTGTTAATTAGATGAAAATTGTTTATGTAATTAGGTGGAGTCTAGATCAGCATTCGAGATTCGAGATTATCCGAACTACTCGAGGTGAGTCTTCTCGCTATACATTACCTAGAGTGGTATCTATGTGCAGACCGGAGGGTCTTATGTGTTATGTGTATGTGGATGTCTGAGATTTATTTGCATTGTGTTATATGTATGGTATGTGTTATATAGACCGGACTAGAGGGTCCAACGACTCATGAGGCCAGAGGATCCTCAATTAGACCGGACCGGAGGGTCCAACGAGCTAGACCGGACTGGAGGGTCCAACGAGCTACGAGACTGGAGGGTCCCGCTGGGAAACATAGACCAGAGGGTCATAACGAGTTATAGCCTCGAGTGGCTGATGTGTTGTATGTGATATTTTGGAGAACTCACTAAGCATTTATGCTTACTGTGTTACGTGATATGTGTTTCAGTACTAGCGAGGATCGCGGGAAGGCGCCAACATGATCTATACACATTGATAGAGTATTACGTATTTGTATTTGAGATTATGGGATATGTTTTACTGAGATGACATTTGAAACATTTGAGTTGTGAGATTACTTTATGAAATATGTTATGCTTTTAAAAATGAAAATTTGTTTTGAAATTTCATGTCGTTACAATAACGTACCCTAGGAAGCACGAAAGAGTCGCGCCCAACTCAGAAGGCTGGCGCGTCCGGCAGACCAGACCCAGCGGGCTTAGCGCCCGCCAGTGAGCCTAAGGGCAGGGGTAGAGCAAAGGATAAGCGCCCGCCAGAGACGTCCTCGCACGAGGCTCGCGCCCGCCAAGGACGCCCTCAACTCCAAGACAAATGATACGGTCAGGCGACAAAGCAAGGGATCAGAGCATTACTGGCATGACCAATGGCAACACTCTGATAGATAGAGGAGCACGATCCTCCAATCAGCGCCTTAGATCCTATCGGCCCAGGCGATTCTGTCTCGTACGGACGAACAGGATCGCTGAGTATAAAAGGAAACGGTCACAACCCCGGCAGGTAAGTCATCTTCCCTAAGCTACACTCATACACACACGCAGAACCATACTAACTTGAACGTCAGAGCGTCTTTCCGGGGGCCTCCTCCCGGGAAATGACTGACGACCTCCTTTCTTTGTGATCTTGTAGGAGCAGCTCAAGAACTGTTGAACGAGCGCAAGGTCGCATCATTCACATTTAAGTAATCATCCTTTTTTTTACACAATTGACAATTTAATTTGTTTGTGTTCACATGTTAATATTGTTATCGGCTATTGCCAATGACTATAGTAATATGTTAATACATATAACAATTTAAATGGTTAAATATAAAAAAAAAGTATTTAAATATAAAAAAAATTATTATTTTGGTAAGTTATTAGAAAAAAATGTAATTTTCTATGTTAAAAGCAAATAAAATAATAATAAAAAACATATCCGTTGCATGTATTTGCAAAATGGGCCGTTTTCATTTTCAAGTTGTGTTTGGTTGGTACTTGGTATTAATGAAGATGGGATCCAGCTGTACGTGATTGATTGTTTTCGATAATAATTTGACTTTATTGAACGATGGTTTGCGAATCCTTGTCGCTGTCGGTGCCTGCTGATTACGCGTGAGAACGATCTTTCCACGTTCCCTCCCACTTTACGATGCCAAATGGTTTCCTTTTATTAACTTTACTTTCCCATGCAAATAATTTTTTTAATTATTTATCACTCACCTAAACACCTTTTATTATTATTATTATTACTGTTATTATTATTTGATATAATAGTATTAGTAACTATATAATTTATGATACCTAAACAGTATGGTAACGTACTACATAAAAGAATAAATTGATTTTAAATTTATTTTTGTTAAAAATAAATTATATAAATTAATAAAATAATAGAAAGTATCTTTTAATATCTTATTTTTATTAAAAAATATTAAAGTATTGTTGTTTTTTTTTTCAAAAACATGAGAACCGTTTGGTAGATTTCACTATTTTAAGAAAAGATGATCAACGTTGAGAATTTCTAATTGTTTGACAAAATCTTTAATCCGTCAACCGAATATGATTTATGATTTCTTTATGTAATACAAGTTCATTACAACTACATGGTTTTAATCATTTATTTAGGCAGATAATCTTTTATTGATCGATATACACATGTAGTTATGTTTTAATTTAATAAATTATAATAATGATATACACAATAAAATTTTATATTATTTTATGGTTTAATCATTATATTATATTTTTGGTTAATGAAAATTACTGAGATTTAACATTTTACTTTTATGTCGATAATTTCAGCATGTAATATTTGTTATATCATGTTAAAATGGTCATTATATAAATATATAATGTTATCAAAGTTTAATAGCTTTATTCGAATATTTATTGTAAAAAAATATAATGCTAAAATTTTCACTATAGTCCGTAAACTTCAATAATATTTTCTACTCTGACTATAGTAAGCTATCTAACCATAATAGATCAAAACGGTTAATATTATAAAAAAAAAATGTTAAACTTTGATGATTTTAATTTGATGAAACTGAAATATAATAATCAAAACGATCAAAATATAAAGATGTATATGTAACTTGCTTGGTAAAAATAATAAAAATATTTTTTTTATTTGTAATATTCTTTTTTAAATACACCGGAAATATAATTATCTGTACTTTTTTGTAAATACACCGGAAACGCGAACACTTGTTTTATTTTTATCTTCTTGTCAGTAGTCAGTACTATAAAGGCAAGCGGCTATCACTCGAATCCTCATAACTCGTCATTGAAATCTCTCCGACAAATTTTTAATCCAGTGTCATATATACGATCAAGAGATCTAATATAATTGTTCTCCATTCAGGTATGAATAAGATTCTTCATGTAAATTCAAATATTCTTTTTTGTGAAATCAATCAAGTTATGGATGTATAGATTCTCCTATATCTTATTTCAGTTCAAAATACGAAGCATCGTTTCCTGAGATCTTGAACCATGTTCTAGATTTCAGAAATGAATTGAAGTTTATAGATACTCATCTATCATCTATGGCGTATGTGTGTGAAAGAGTTCAAGTTTGTAGTTGTTTTTTTTACTTTTGTGGTCAAAGATGTGGATAATAAGTTGACTATGAACTCGATAGATATGTGATTTGTTCTAGTTTTAAACCACGAGGCTCTTAGATTCTGAAAATAACAAGTAAAACATGTGTTAATCGTTTGGATTTGGGGTTAAAAAATGATGACTTGTATATGACCACATAATTCAACTCTAGCATTAAATGATAATGGGTGTATGTGTATGTCATTTCTTGAAAAACACTTGTTTGTTTGCAAAAAATATATATATTTATTTTGGATTCAATTTATAAAATATTTGGTTGTGAAATCTTTAGGCAATTGAAGGCATGATGAGCGAAAGAGGAGATCGATGGCTATGTATAATCTTGGTTTGCACATTAAGTTTGTTATGCACAGAAGCTTATGATGTTGGACTCACTTTTCTTAATAGTGCTGTTGCTAAAGGAGCTGGTAAACAAGCTTTTCTTTTTTCCTTTATGAACTTAAATTGAATTATTTAAACTAAATTGGTTATTTTAAACTTAACGTGTTACATTTTTGGGGGTTTTAACACGAAATTTATTGTTGTTTTTAGTTTGTTTGGATGGTAGTGCACCCGCGTATCATTTCGATAAAGGATTCGGTGCAGGAATCGACAATTGGTTGGTTTTCTTTGAGGTTGGTTCCTGATAATCATCGTTTCAAGTTAATTGTTTGTCAAATTCGCTATAAATAAACTTATCTGTAATAATTCTAAGTTTTGATATGACAATCTATATTAGTTTATGATATATTACTTAACTGGGTGTGAGACATGTATAAATGAGAAGTTTATTTTAATTTGAAATTTTATATAAGTAATAATTATGAGAAAAAAACATGCAAAAAATAAATAAGTTAAAATCATGTGTTTAGTTATTAGATCTGTATACTAAACTAAACGGGTTAATTATAACAGAATGTTAAACACAAAGGTTTAAACAGTAAATTTATTTGAAATTAAAATTTAAAATTTAAAATTAATAGTCATTATGATAAGTTTTATTTATGAAAACTAAATTAATCAACTATAATAAATGAAAATTCATTTTGCCACATGTCATTCTTTAATAAGTTTTAACACTTGTCATTTTTGTGATATTTTTGAAATAAATAATATACACATGTTAATTTTTAAGTTTTTCAAATTTTAAAATTAAAAAGTCATATAATATTTATATATTTATATATAAATATGATATTAAATTTCAATTAATACATTCTTTATTCTTACTTCAAAATTTATTTTAAAAAATATTTATTGTGTACACTTTAATATTTAATTTCTTTTTTAATCAGTCCGTATAATACATGGGTTTTACATCTAATAGTATATTGGAAATTAAAAATGAAGTAAATGACAAGTGGAAAATAAATATATTTTAAAATTATAACAAAATGAGATATGGCTAATTGAATAAGAGAAGAATATGTGGCAAAATCATTCTTATTTATTAGGATAAATCTACTCTAATAAATGAAAGTTTTTTTTTCCACATGTCACACTCTTATTCAATTTGTTAAATGTCATTTTGTGGTTATTTTGAATTAATTTTTTTTTCCATATGTCATTTTATGATTTTTTTATTTTATTAAATTTCATATAATATTTTATAAATTCAAAGTTCTCAAATATTTTGAATTTTATATTTTATTTTTTTTAATTAACCCATATACTATATGAGTCTTACAACTAGTTGAATTGATATAGCAACCAATCATTTTAAGATGTTTTATGTGATGTGTGTATGTCTATAGTTAGCAAATAGCATACATAGATGCAATATTGATGTTAAGTATATACTAAATAGCAATTTAATGCTAATTAGGTATTGACACTAACATTTTTATGTAGAATACATCACTATATTGATCATTTAACGAATATTTTTATGCTAAATAGTATGCGACTATACTTACAATTTTTTATGTTAATAAACCACATGTGCACTTCGTGCCCGCTTATTCAAAATATCGGTTGCCAAATAACTAGATAGTTGGTTTTTATATGAGTCAATTAACCTTTTATATATAATTGAAGTTAATAATTATGGGATTTCTTAGTGAAAATTTCTCACTAAGGTTCATTTTTCGGATAACTATTAGGGGGGAGGTTGGTGCAACAATGCCACAAATTGCCTTACACGTAGAGATACTCGATTAGGTTCCTCAAAGAAAATGTTGACAACAGAGACGTTTTCGGGCATGTTTCACAACAAGGCCAAATATAACCCTGGTATACCTTTTATTTATCATTTTTTAATAAATAAAAACACAACTAGTGATTTATACTAATGCATTCTTGATTCTACTTTCTTTTTTAGACTTTTACGAGTGGAATAGAATCAAGGTCCGTTATTGTGACGGAGCTTCCTTTACCGGTGATGTGGAAGCAGTCGATCCCGTAAGTCAACAAACTTATAACAATTCGTGTCGATTTTTTGTGCTTTTTTTTTTTGTTCTTTAGTAATATATTTTATTTTTTTTTTTCAGAAAACCAAGCTTTACTATAGAGGAGCGAGGATTTTTCGTGCAGTTGTTGACGATTTGTTAGCAAAAGGGATGAAGAACGCTAAAAATGTACACTTATACTTTTGCTATTCACCTTTTATTCCCTTTTCACATTAAAGATGCACATGGTTTGATCCAAACCCATGTTTTGAACCAGACCAAAAAAGTCAAGTCCAAGTTTTTCGTATATTTGTTTATTCTATCAAATTTATAACATCATCTAGATACAAAACATCTTTTTCTATAGTTAGATAAATTTTATTAAAAAAATGGAAGATAGATGCTATAAATAAAGTTACAATTAACAAAAAAAATGATACTACATTTTACATTTTCTATTCATTGCGTTTATTTACCCTAGAACAAAAGCCCGGTCCAAGAAACCATAATAAGCCCGGTCTGGTTGATCATATCCGGTTCAGATATACATCATCTGCTTTATAACTAATTAAAAAAAAAAATTATGTTGTAGGCGATTCTAGCGGGGTGTTCAGCCGGTGGATTAACTTCGATCTTGCAGTGCGATAATTTCCGATCACAATTACCGGCGACGACTAAAGTGAAATGCCTTTCCGATGCCGGATTTTTCATCAATGCGTAAGCTTCGATTTCCATTTCCAATGTTTACTTCACGTTTCCCCTTTGTTTTCGATGTATTGATTTCACGTTTTTGATTCATCAACAGGAAGACGATTATAGGGCAAAGTCACATCGAAGGCTTCTACGCTGACGTCGTTAGAACACATGTACTTTCAAAATTCAAATCCCCTTTTTTCCACTCTCAAAAATGTCATCAAAATTTCTGATTGTTGAATTTGATTTGTTGGTTTAGGGATCTGCTAAAGTTTTGTCTCCAGCTTGCCTTGCGAAAATGAGTCCTGGTTTGGTAAGACTTGAAAAACATATATTTTGATATATAACTCCTTCGAATTTTTGCGTTTTTCTCTATGAAAAATGTGACATTTCTCTTTGTTTTTTTTGCAGTGTTTTTTCCCACAAAACATGGTGCAATTCATCAAAACACCCATTTTTTTGATTAATGCAGCATATGATTCATGGCAGGTTAGGCAACCATAGCATAATCACTAATGAAAATTTCAATTTTTAGCATTTTACTTTTGTTTCTACTTATAACAACGTTGTACTTTCAAATAGAATGTCCTAATAAAAAGTAATTTGGTATATTTTCCAAAATACACCTTTTTGCTATAATTTGATATATTTTCGACATTGTATTTTGGAAAATATAGCAAAAAGTAACCTTTTGGAAAATAAAGCAAAAAGGTAAATGCTAAAATATAGCAAAAAGGTTTGGAAAATATACATTTTTATTAGGACACTATATTTTGGAAAATATAGCAAAAAGTAACCTTCAACCTTTGGAAAATATAGCAAAAAGGTAAATGCTAAAATATAGCAAAAAGGTTTGGAAAATATACATTTTTATTAGGACACTATATTTTGGAAAATATAGCAAAAAGTAACCTTCAACCTTTGGAAAATATAGCAAAAAGGTAAATGCTAAAATATAGCAAAAAGGTTTGGAAAATATACATTTTTATTAGGACACTATATTTTGGAAAATATAGCAAATAAAGCGAAATTTGGGTAGCTAAGGTTACTTATTTGGTACCCGATTTAAAAGGTAACAAGTTATAACCTTTTTGCTATAATTGGGTTTAGTTTTCAAAATAGAGTGACCTAATAAAAAATAATTTAAAAATACAATGTTGTAATAAATAAAAGCGAATGAACAATGTTATTATAAAAACGTTAAAAGAGTACATAGTTATTTATTGCATTTAGTCTTTTTTTTTTCTTTTAATTTAAATGTAAATCATAAATTTACAGGTGAAGAATATATTAGCTCCCGGAGTGTCTGATCGCAAAGGCACATGGCGCGAATGCAAACTTGACATAACAAAATGTTCATCCGCTCAACTTAACGTCCTTCAAGGTTTCACTACAGTCATTCATCCAAACTGTGTTTGTTCCATTGACATCAGTCTTAATCCAATACTGTTTAAAAAAAAAAAAAAAAAACTTTACACGTTTTTTGTTAAATTTGTCAGGTTTCAGGCTAGAATTCTTAAAAGCTCTAAATGGATTCGGCAATGGCAACTCTCCTTCTAGAGGAATGTTCATCAACTCTTGCTATTCTCATTGCCAAACAGGAACTCAAGAAACATGGTTGAGAAACGACTCACCATTGTTGGGTAACACGGTAAAGTCATTTTCTCTTTAATAAAAAAAATAACAAAATATATAATTTTACAAATATGGTCCTTGTACTTTACCTAAAATCCCAAGTTCAGTCCAAATTTTGAAATTGTCATAGTGGCTAGTGTTGTCCTTGAGTTTGCATTTTGTTGCGGATGTGGTACTTGATGACTTCAAAGTTTTGGACTAAAATTGTGATTTTGATTAAAGTACAGGGACTATATTGAGAAATTTTCAAACCTAAACTAATGTTTTGTTACGAATTAATTTTTTTATCAGACGATTGCAAAAGCTGTCGGAGATTGGTACTATGAGAGGAACACGTTTCAAAAGATAGATTGTGCATACCCATGTGATAAAACGTGCCACAATCGTGTGTTCGAGTAGAAGCTGACATCATCACATTGTTTATTTACAAGAATGCCCCCTGGAAATTAATTTAATATAAATTCAGTATAAGATATGTTTCCGTACACATTCTTTGATGCGGGTTTTGTGTTGGTGCTGCTTATATTGAAAGGAGTGCCGAATTTCAACTATAGTTATACAAAATACAACATTTGAAAATGTGGTTCCTTTGTTATTATGGATCTTTTGGATGATTATAAATCAATAAAAATGTGGTTCTAATTTATTTTTGTATGGTCCTGTATTTTCTTTCAAGCTTGAGCTTCATGTAATTTAATTTCAAGAAAACTAATTATATCCATTAATTTATTGTATAGTTAAAGTTGAGCTTTAAGTGCAATATATAAATTTAAGAATTTAAAGAACTTGAGTGAAGATAGATAAAAGAGTCTTGTATTGAAAAAAATACAATACTATGATGAAATGAGACGTGTGAAGGAAATGATTCTTTTTCAATAATCACAAACAAGTATCAAAACTCATTAAATATTGACATGTGACATAAGGATCGGCGTAAATATAACTAGAAATTGCTTGGTCCCTACTCTGCGGTGGATAGAAACGAGATTTTGCTTAGTCAGTTAGGTTTTGTTTTGTGGGGGGATCAAATTTATCAACGTGTCAATATATGAAAGTTCAAGGGGTGGAAAATATCAATGTTTATTTTTACGGGGATAAAAGTGATATTTTACAAAATAAAGGGGTTAAAAATGACATTCTACATAGTAGGGGTGGAAGATGCCAACATAAGAATGTATAGGGGTGAAATCTTTTAACAAAAAAAATTATGATTAGAGTTTGAAACCAAAAAGCTGTGTCCCAAAGTATGAGACCACAAAACTATAACCTAGGGACTAAATATGTTAAAAAGACAAATTTTTATGGTTAAATATAAAATAAGAAACGTGTGGCCAAAGTATGAAAACATAAAAATATATTATCTATAACTAATTTTGATTTAATATATAATATAATATAATTATAGAATTCGATGTACGCCTTTTGCATTTATCACTTTTGGTGAAATATCCAGAAGAAATGAATCATATTAGGATTTTCTTAAAAAGTTCCAATGTAAGATGATGAGTCATCATCTATTGGTTAAGAGCTTCAATCCAATTGAGGAGACCGGATGGTCATCCAACTAGACAACCATTTAATGCATTATTTTGATTGGTATTGACCTAAACTCAACATTTGTACCAGTTTTCCAACGAATTGTGTTGTCTTTAAGTATATTTTTGTTGAAACAATAACGAGTAGATCGATAGATTATGAACACTAAATAGGAATCAAACACAAGAATAATGATGGAAAATACGCTTAATATTAAGATCAATGCCTTAGAAGAGCTTGATTAAGAACTTCTTTGTAAAAGCACAGTAGGGCAAAAATATAATTAATACCAAAATACGGTGCATGCATGCACTATATATAATCTAACCCTAAAATCATTACAATACCGGGTGAACAAGTCCAACCCATTACAAAATGGACTATACTAGCACAAAATACAATTGACACAACAGAAAAATATCTCAACAATCTCATACTTTGTGTCAATTAAGGAAGGTAGATCTTCAGTGGTGTTGGCGCTTCTGGACCTTGAAGAGTTTTTGCACAAGACTGAGCAAGGTACTGCACACTGCTATATACCATCTGATCATGTCTGCGAAGCAGTTCTTGCTTGCAGTATCGTTCGCTTTGAACTGCCCAATCAACTCCAGAATGTAGTTCAAGCAGGAAGTGGAGTAAAGATGTTTTTCAGGAAGAACAAACACTTCTAAACATTCGAACTATCTCTAGAACTTTGTTGAAACATTACACTCCAATTTTCCTTCTCAATCCTTTCGAGCTTCATCTTGTTGATGTCCTTAAAAGATTCTTTCGGTTTAACAACATGCTTCTTTCGTAGAACTACCTCAATCTCTACATCCATTTTTCCAACTTCTTGAATGTACGAGATTAGCATCCTTTTCAGATGCACCACAATAGGTTCACATTTCTGTTCATCCTTTAGCAAGAGATGAAACAGATATATCCAGTCAAAAGGGTTGAGGCACTGGAGATCTGCGAACGTAAATTCATACACTGGACTCGCAACACCTCTAGTTGTTTTGAATCTAATATCAGGAAGCTTTCAGTTTCAATGGGGCGAAAAACCTTCACTGTCGTAATCTTCTTAGAACTCCAAGTTTGATATTGGGGCTTGCCATGCTTCAGATAAAAGGAGATAAGCATAAGATTGGCATCATTATCAGAATCAGGAGCTTTATCAACTGTGTCAAAACTTCGAAACAAGAACGCCTTTGGAGTTATAGGAAAATCAAGCTGCAAATCCAAAGTGTTTTCTAATTCAAACGAAGTAACTGGCTCCAGATAGTAAACACTTGGATTGTCGATGGCTTCGTTCAAGATTCACTCCATTATCCAGGGAGGGAAAAGAGGCTGCTGAGTTTTCAAAGTATCTTGGGCTTGACGAGTTGCCTTCTCTCGTGCTTCAGCTTCCTTGGCAATTAGCAAATTTTCATCTATCTTTATCACGAGACTTACGCTTAATCTTTGCCCCTTCATCCTATTCTTCCTCCTCATCATCATCAATAAGCTTTCCTGTACCTTTTGATCATGAAGCTTCATTATCCTTCGGATCTTTGGACTTTTGTTCATGCTCATCAGAGTCACCTGCTGGTTTGTTAGGTTCTTCACCAGATGCTTTCTTCGCTTCCCCCTTGTTTTGGAAGAGAGCTCGATGCCGAAACACCTTTAATCTTATTAAGCATTGAGAATACATGCTTGAGCTTGTCAACCAGATTTTGTCGAATAGAAATTGTGAGCAGCGAATCACGAGTTTCGACAAGATTTTGCAGAAAAAAGGTTTACATCAGCAACACAACTCTTTATCATGGCCTTTTCGGACTTAAGCTCATCAATCTCTGTGACAACCGTCAAATTCTGGTCAATTCAAAGTCAAATAAAGTCAACAAGTCAAACCGGTCAGCTCAACTAACCCTTGTGTACTAGGACTTACGTTCAGTATTTACTAAACAACTCGCTATTCTAATAAGAAAACATAAATCAAAAAGTACGTGCAACTAGATCTCTTTAACCTAAAAGCTGCGGTAAGTGGCAAGCCAAACCGATAAAACAATGATGCTTACTCATCGGGAGTGTGTAGGATCCTTAAACAAGGCTTAACAGGGTTTACGAACCATGCATTGCGATGCCGGACACTCACAACTGTCCCACATGGAATCTCTCTCAATCGTTTTCACTTTATCTCTCTCTATGTCAAATCTCTCCCAAATCTCTCCAAGTATGCGAAATCTCTCTCAAATATCTCTCTGTATGAGAAGTCTCTCCAAGAATGTCAAATCTCTCCCAAATCTCTCCAAGTATGTGAAATCTCTCTCAAATATCTCTTTGTATGAGAAATCTCTCCAAGAATGTCAAATCTCTCCCAAATCTCTCCAAGTATGAGAAATCTCTCCCAAATCTCCCTCAAATAGTTCCCGTAACTTTTTAGAATCATTCGGGTCATTCCGACCCTTAACCGGGTCAAAAACGGCTTAAAACGGGGTGAAAACGAGAAAACGGGACCTTAGGAACCGAAACCCTTCTTAAGGAGCCGAAGCTCCTTAAGGCCGAGACTAAGAACCAAAAAAAGGCCCTAGGACCGAAGACCGATCCTCTGTTGGCTAAGACACCGAAGACCGAGCCTCTGTTGGCTAAGACACCGAAGACCGAGCCTCTGTTGGCTAACACGCGAGGACCGAGCCTCTGTTGGCTAAGACACGCGAGAACCGAGCCTCTGTTGGCTGAATCCGGAGGACCGAGCCACTGTAGCTGAGACTGAGCCTCTGCCTCTGTCGCTTCTCACTCTCTGTTCGCTTCTCGGTCTCTGCTTCTTTCTCTCCTCTCTGTCTTCTCGCGCCTCTCTGTCTCTTCCCTCCTCTCGGTCTCTGCTCCCTCTCTTCTCTTCTTTCGGTCTCTCTTCTCCTCTCTCGGTTCCCTCTCTCTCTTTTCTCCCCTCTCGGTTCCTACCCTCTCCCTTCTCCCCTCTCGGTTTCTGCCTCCCTCTCTCTCGGTTCAGCATCAGAAGGCCGAACCTCGGCCAGAATTTGGAAATTTGTCACTTTTAGCCCATTTTTGATATTTTTAACATTTTAAGCCCGTTTTTCGTGATTTTAAAGCGAGATTTTCTCCAGAAATTATATTTTAACATAATAAACTCTAAATATTCATAATTTAAACATATTTTGATGAAAACCATTATTTAAATAATAAAAATCAAATGGGTGAATTATTAAAGGTGGAGTGTTGACTTTGCCTTATCCAAAGTCACAAGCAACCACCCCACACCCACTCTTTGACTAACCACACCTCCCCACCTTACCTAGGTCACTTCAATGTCCCTCACACTCAATTTACACTCATTCCCACGTTTTTAGAGCTGGAACAAACATCCTCTCTCCTCATTTCTCTCATTTGCCCTCATTTCACTACGTATCAAACACCACTTTTCTCTCAAACTTTTCCCACTCCAATTTCGAGATTCAAGGCTGATTTTCAAGTGTTCTTCCACTCTTAGTAAGTATAATTCATCCTCCTTATGATTATTTCACTTCATTCTACTCAAATCATGAATATCTTACACAAACTCCATCATACTAGCGTTAGAGCTTCAAATCTTCAAGTGATTTCTTCAAGTGTTCTTGGGTTGAACACTTCTCTTCTTCAACACTTATCTACTGAAATCACTCAAGGTGAGTTCATACCCCTACATTTTCATGTTTTCTCAAGTTTTCAGGGGGGGGGGGGGGATACAAGTTAAAACACCAAGAACATAACTAAATTTTTCTAACAGCCTTCATCAGAAAAGTTCAACTCCATTCACGGACTGTTTTGGAAAACTTAAATTTTTTTTTTCAAAACTGTACAAGGTGCAAATAGTTCAAGTTTTTAGCTTTAAAATGACTACTTGCACATCTCCATACGATTTTTCTACAATTTATGGTGATTTTTACAAAACTGCCTATCATTTCAAACAACAATCCAGACCAGTCTGTGATTTTGGAATTATTCACCCAAGTTGGAGGTCATTAAAAATCTTGATAAAAATTATGAGTAAACTAGACACACTTTTCGAACTCTCAGAATTTACGGATCTAGTTTTCGACTTTGTATGATTTTTCTATGATTTTTCTAAAACAGTGCTGAAAGACTAAGAATTAATTAACAGCTTCTAACTATCAAAACACTTTGTAACATGTTGAGCAAAGTGTTAAATCTTTGATAACTTCATATTTTACATGTATTTCTTGTCATGATATATTTATATAATAGGAAATTACTTGCTGAATTTATAAGAATCCTCCATCATAATCAATAGTACAAAACAAAGCAAGTTAATCATAGTTATATCGTACTATACGTTTGACTTACATAGAGTGGGATTCTTAAACACCACAAAGAAATATACTAAACTATAATAGGTATAGTTAGGGTACATATACATTTCAAACATTTTAATAAACTATAATAGGTATAGTTTATGATCATTTACATAACATACTTGTACAAAAAGGGGGGTACAAATACAAAGTACCGGGTTTTTATACAAAAGAGGGTACAAATACAAAGTGCCGGGTTTATATACGAAAAAGGGGTACAAATACAAAGTGCCAGTTTTCATACAAAAAGGGGTACAAATACAAAGTGCCGGGTTTATATGCAAAAAGGGGTACAAATACAAAGTGCCGGTTTTTATACAAAAAGGGGTACAAATACAAAGTGCCGGTTTAAAGGGGTACAAATACAAAGTGCCGGGTCTTTATACAAAAAGGGGGTACCGATACAAAGTACCAGGTTCACTTAAGTTAGTTATTATGATATTAAAACTATATTGCACCTAGAACTGTTAGACTTCAACTATAATCGCTGAGCGTACATGTTTGGGTCTTATAAGAATTTTGTCTCGATTGGCCTAGAATTAGTGATGCCTGCCTCATCTCCTGTTCCTTGTTTGGTTGTGGACCTAGGGCAGACCCACTATATTCAACGTTTTATCTAATTTAAATCTTATATAACTTATATACGCTGGACGATTATAGAGGAACTCTACGGGTCATTCTAGGGTTCATTAATGCATCATAAAGGAATATTTCTATTCACACTTAACTAAGAAAATATTGGATTTTCTGGAAATCAAACCATATCGATTTTACAAGGAAAACGGTTTCTACTTCAAACAAAACTCTTATGAACTCACCAACTTAATTGTTGACACTTTTTCAAAACTACTTGTATTCTCAGGAAATCAGTGAAACAGGAAAACTTCATCGCTTTGAGGATGGGACGTTAAACCGTCAACAATTTATTTTTGTCATCATAATGTAATTGCTTTTGAAACATGTAAACATATACTTTGGTGTAACTTTTTCAATTACATATATGGTGGTTGTATTTACTTTGAGCACTATTATACTCGTTGTTGTGATACTGTACATGAAGTCCTCCACCCCCGGATGTTTCCGCCATCCTTGGTTTGGGGGTGTGACAATCTCCTTGTTGGCATGAGAGAGGTGAGTAGAAAAAGCCTTTACATTTTCAATTTTGATGGCCAGCTTATCCATTATCTTGTTACTAGTGACAAGATCGGCTTGAAGCTTTTCAATCTTGGAAGTTATGGATGTTCTCAGTTCAGCATGATCATTCTAAATTTCAGTTCGAACGTTTGCAAGAGCTACTTTCTCGGTTTGAAGAGTTGCACCGAGGCTAGATATCACTTTGTTTGCAGTTGTTGTGTTTGATTTGAAAGAGCTTTGGAAATCACCCATGAAAGTCGTAACCTCATAAAGCAGTTTTTCGACTTTTTCGCTCGTCTCCTTTCAAGTTTTCTCTGAATCCTCAACAACTTTGTTGGATTTGGCAAGAGTCGCAGCATGTTCCTTCGTCAAAGTTTCTATTAATGCTTTGTGAGATGCAAACATGAATTCAGAAGAGGAACAAGACTTTGTAGATTCTAAGATTCTATCCAATTTTTCATTCAACTCTTTGAACTGCCCTTTTGTAACAGGGGCATCTTCATCATCACTATACTGTTGAATGGTAAATGGCCTGTAATGAAAATCGTGGAAATCTTCTCGATCATCCCCAAAGATAGTATCTGGATCATCTGTACATAGAGGTGAGATAGGAGCGAAATCTGGACCAAAAGTGGCACCAGAAGCACCTGCCCCCGTATCAGATACGTTGACAGTGATTGGGGGTGTACTAGTGGTTGTTGGTGTCGTAGCTGTGGATTCAGTGTAAAGAGGTGGGATTACACTATGGATATCTAGGGTTGCGAAACTTTCACATTTACATTTGGTCATGGAGCAATTGTGATAGGGGTAGTAGTAGCAGTAGGAGAAGGTGGAGAAAAATCCTGGAAAAATTCATCTGTTATGGGAACAGAAGTTGGCATTGAGAAAGATACCTCATGATTGGTCGGAGTAGGAGAAGGCTACAAAACAATAGGTTGCGCAGTAGCAGTAGCGTCAACATCATTGTTACGAGCCTAAAGATCCTCTGAAAGAGTTCGGGACTCGGATTCCTCCTGAGCAACAGGCAAAGGAGACCTTGGTTTGCGAGCACCTCGCTTGATTTTCTTTGGAGTAGCAGCAGGTTCGGAG